CCTATTCTTGTGTCCACTTTGTTGTGTCGCCCGGTATACTTTTTCGCCATCCTATTCTACTGCGAAAGGGGAAAGCCAAATCCCACGAAAAACATTGGTTTCCTTACATAAAGCGGGAAAACGATTCATTTGGCGAAAGCCTGAAACTTTATACCTCCATCTGAGTGCTATATTCCAGGTTTCCTTCTCTGCTTAAGTTAAACCCGAATCAAATAAAAAGCACAAACGGTTTAAACAGCAAGCGGGATACCGTTAGTGTAGATAACTAGTCCCGCGGCATTAAAAGGGAACATTTCCCTTAACTCGGAAACCTTGTTCACCTGTCGATTATCCATCCCCCGCATCTCCACCGCAGTAAAAGTATTTGCACACTCGGAAAGCTCCTACCGGCGGCGTTTGCCTGGAATCGAGTTTGGCGATGGTGCGATTTTATGGGCTTTTGCTTTTAACAAAAATCCGTTTACTCTCGCAGAGTGCTGAGGATCAGCTCTGAATTCCGACGAATGTTTCGTTAATTTGGTTTTCCAAATCTAGCGAATGAAAGACCACGATGAAGGTATCTTTATTTAATGATTGTCAGTAAAAAATATTTAAATAGCTTGCCTCTGCTGAATTAGCAAATTTTCTTTCTTCTTGGCAATTGGTGCATGAAGATGACGTGGCAATTGAGTTGCACTGATTATTATGAAATAAATTCAGAAATCATAAAAAACTTTTCCGGAACATAACTTTTTAAAATAAACGAAAAACTATCAGTACATAACCAAGGTACCAAATTTTTCTATAACTTTTGAGTGGAATGACGGACATCTGCAGCATTTTGAAACAACAACCCATTGGTCAATTGCATGTTTACTTCCAGTCGCCAAAGGTTCACCGTTGCCCCTATTCTTTGATATTGTGGTAAAAAATTGCTCGGGTTCCTCTTGTTCTATTAATACCGTCATGTCTACAGATGACACTACTACATTCGTCTCTTCTAGAAATAGAAATATACTAAGTACTATACCTGATCTTCATGATGATTTAAAAAAAGAAAAATTATGGAACCTTCCAAAAAAATTTCGTTCTGAATATAGCCTTGATCACGATTAATGATGTTTAAATATATTATGGTCATTTTTGCAAATTAATAGCCACTCCGGACACACTTTCGAAGTACTAAAAAATGTATAGGGTACACACTTCACAAAAAGCTCAATAGTAAGTTAAAAGTTAAAAAAAAATGTTCCCATTCTCGACTTTTTAACATATAATTACAAAATCGGTGAAGGATATTTCGGTGAACGTGTTTAATTATTAATTATTCATTTTTTTTCTCTATTTTTCTGGTTGCCCTTACTTGTAGAATATATATTTATACGGCAAAATTTTGAAGCTTTTAGGTTGCTTATTCTTTTAGAACTTGGTGTACAAATATCTGTTGTCTGGTTAGCTCGCTATTTTTCTAATCAGAGGGATAACGCATAATTATTTTTTCCTTAAAGCCCCCTGAATGGCCCCGACGTCGTAGGTTTAAATTAACGTAACCGATGTGATGAGAATTTTTAGACGGCGAACCTCTGAGAAACCAACCAACCATAATGATATACAAGATATTTTCTCGAGAATCCAGATGTGACCTATATCGTAACAAAAATTTACCTGGAAAGAATTGCATAAATGTATTTATTATTTTTAGCGGGCATATGACAACGGGGGCAAACTTTGTCCACATGACGTCACATTAAACTTGACATAAAAAACTAGACCGATTTTATATTTCTGCGAACGGCACGAATTTCTAGTCAGGAATGACATATTTCATTGGTTGCGAGTTTATTCCTGACACTCGGGACAGAATTTTAATTCGACAGAATAAATTACATTAACAGTCAGATTTTAATAACGTGTATTAGAATTAGTGTGTTACACTGCGAGCCCGTGTTCTTGTCCATTGAACGTTTGCCTCAAAATCGTGATCGAAATTTACTGGGTTACCAATTCAGAAGAGCACTGGGGTCTTTCTCAAAATGTAATTCTCGTAAAACTTGGGGCTGAAAGAAAGTTTTAATTGTATATTTATAAGTTTCTAGAATGGCTGCTAGGTGGCATTATTGAATTTTTCGTTTTTTTTCGTTAAATAGATTTACTGTAACTCTTATGGAAAAAATGATGGGCGGCGTCCGAACATTTTCGGAAGTAAATGTTAATAGCCTGAGCATGGCTGAACGCATTTTGTCAAACTTGATGTGGTCGAAAAGGATGTTTTTAGAATATCAACGCTACCTTGAGCCGATTAATTTAGATTTTGCGACATCACTGCAAATGAAATAGAGTCCCTCAAATAAATTAAACACATCGATATTGCCTATATTGCAACAAAAGATAGCCCAATAACGGTCTAACACGCTGAAAAGCGTATTTCCATTACTCTTTCGCAACCTATAACATCAGTAAAAAAAATAAAAACTGAAAATAATGTTGCAGTATACCTGCCATTTATTGTAAAAATATCATCATTTTATTAAAAATTTCAATAAAAATTAATACACATTTAATATGATTGTAAATTACGCATCTTTACACAACAAATTCAAAATTTTAAATATCCAATTGTACATTGGAAAACAAAATACCAAAAATTATAATAGTGGTATTTAAGTGTCAATAGTATGCCATGGAGTATGCTACATTAAGTACACTACATTAAAACCCAAAAGTTTTCTGTGTTATTGTTTTTCATTATTGTAATATATTGATTTATAATATTCAATCATATGGGAATTAGTAATAATTATTATTACATTTTTAATATAAGCTTGGCGTTTTACAAGCAAATTTATATATATTATGCAAAATGAACGCAGATTAATACGTAATAATGGTTAATATTCTCAAAGATGGTGACATTATTTTGTTTTTATTTGTTTTACTGATATTACAGGCTAGTAAGAAGATGAGGTTTTTACTAGCCTATGGCAATAAAAGTGATATAATATAATAAATGTTATGGGTAGTGATGTAGCCAAACGCCCTTTAGTGGAGGTACAATAAATCTAAATCAATCCATTCAGAGCAGAATTGATAGCCTAAGAAGAGCCCTTTTTGATCGTTCCAGGTTTGACAAAATTTTGAGTTATTGACATTTATTTTGCAGAATATTAGAACACCACCGAATGAAAAAAAATCCCTTGTCAATTTAAGGTACTTGTAATATAACACTATTTTTTCAAAAAACGGGATATAGAATTTTGGAATGCGTCTTGCAACTATTCTAGAAATATCCTGCATTTTCTGTAGGTCGTTTTAGTTATACATTTTTTAATCCCAAGTCTTTACCACAATTAATTCTCGAGATAGGGCTGAGTGCCCGTCTTAATGGGCCACCCTGTACACTTGACTCATTTTAGGTAGCAGATAAATAACCATTATTAAAAAAACATACATTTCCTACGGGATGATAATTGATAATATAATTAATAAATAATAAATCATAATAATTCATTAGTAATATTGTTTTTTGTAAACGAAGTGCTGAAAAAGTATTTAGCATAAAACGATAATTTCCTTATTATTATCCTGAATTATTTTACAGGTAATGCACAATTTTTAATATGTCAACGAGGATAAATAATTTATATCACGAAAGTATAAAAATTACTTGTTCGTGCTCAAAATAACTATGGTACTATGGAACCTAACTGTACAGCCATTTCAACTATATAATAAATACAAACACAAAACTCAACAATGCTTTTTTAAAAGACTCCAATGCCAATCTCACCTATATTTGCGAAATTTCGTAAAACAGTTTTAAATAGATTTTCCATTTTCCATCCTAATTGATTTTAACAACGAATGATTTATTTTTTATTTTAATTTTGTGTTCAAACTATTTTTGTAAGTACTTGAAAACTTATTTGTAACATAGATCATCTCTATTTATGGATATAATATAATACTTTCGTTATATGAATGTTTTTGAAAAATGCCAGGAAGAATAGATCATTCGATATTGCTTATCTTTGTGCATACTCTACTGTACAGAGTTGATTCTGAATTTGAATCGTTTTAAAAGTTTTTGAATCTTTACTAAAAGTTTCGATACTACAGTTGACTTAGAATGTATTGCAAATAAAAAATGCGGAAATTGAAACGAAAACCATTGGTTAAGTGCAATCTTTGTTCTTGAACTTCAAACGGAACAAGAGAGCCGTATTAAAACAGTTCAGTCAGAAACAAAAAGGAGCAAAGAAACTGTTTGAACATCAAATTTTCAATGAATGCAAAAGAAAGATTGAAATGTGTATATTGGAGATCGTAAAACAAATAATAATAAAAATAGTAGAATAGAAATAGAAACCAGGAGGGGCGGGTTCTGATTGCGAGCGAGGCCACATAGGGTTAGACTTGTCGAACATATTAAACAACAACAAAATAGCGAATCAAAAATAAACTATCGAAGGTAACACCCAACCCGAAATATGGGACAGTATCGACCACTTAAAGCTAGGGCGCCGACATATATTAGGTTTGATCGTGTCGAAATAGAAGTAGAAGATATGAATTCGTTTAATAGTGATAGCTAAGATAAGAAAAATGGACAAATTCGATTTGGGACCACAGTTTTTACACTTTACTAATTTTACTAATAAAAATATATAAATTTCAAATGTAAACAAAATATATTTAAAGATTTGTTCGACAATTGCTTTTTAAAAGGTCGGAAGTAATATATAAATAAATAAATTTATAACTGCAATAACCAGATTGCATAAAAAGAAGTCAGCAAAAATTTACTGGTATTTAATATACTAGTGCGGTTGTTTGCTCGTCTCGATACGAGTGCTGACGTTATGACCAATGAGAAATGCGTATTTCAACCGATAAGCACTTTTCAATAAAACTGATGAATTGAACTAAATTATTAAAGCTATTTTTGGCCATTTTATGATAACATGAGGAAATTTCACTCTTGTAAACACCTCTATTGCATGTTAAATATTTTTTGCTTTCAGATTTGGCGGAATCCACGGCCTACGAAAATAAGTTTTCCAGAATGGTTGGGTTTTAGGTGAGTAAAAATTTCATTATTATATTACAAACTGTTTTTTAGTTCGCCATGTGCAAACGAACGACAATTTGTGACAACTAAACTTAAACTTATTAACAGGCGGGTGACCAATGGTTCGCCGCCAATAAACTTAAGCTTAACACATCGAAGACGAAAAAAATGCTAATAACATCCAACAAAAGAGCTGTAAAGTCACAGCCTGCTAAGCTTGTAGGTATCTTTCTCGATACCTTCCTAACCTGGTCGACTCATATCGAGTATCTATGTTCCAAACTCTCATCTCAAATCTTTGCATTAAGGCAATTAAAAGACTGCATTTCGCAGAAGACCTTAAAGACAATCTACTTTGCACTCTTTCACAGTCATTTGACCTATGGCGTGCTTCTTTGGGGTAACTCTTCAGATGCTGATCGGGTTTTTCGGCTTCAGAAGGCAGCAGTTCGCATTCTCCAAGGGGCTCCTCCTGGAGCACATTGTCGTGAGCTTTTTATTAAATTTAAGATTCTAACTCTGCCTTCCCTATTCATATACTACAACCTTCTGGAGGTCCATGCTGGTTTGCAGAGGTATCCTACTCATGGTGACTACCACTGCTACGGCACACGCGGATCTAGCAATATTGTTCCACTTAAGTCTAGATTAGCCACTACTCAGAAAAATAAACTAAATTTGAACATATATAACATATTTGTGAACAACTATAACCGCTTGTATAAAGCTAACGCTAAGCAATTTACGATAAGAAAATTTAAGTTATCGGTTAGAAGCTATCTTTCCAGTTATGGTTTTTACTCAGTTGAGGAATTTCTATCGCATATCCCAAGAATATAGTGTATACTGTTAACTCAAGCAAATATTTTTATTTATAATTTTTTTTTTCTATAAACATATGTTTATATACATATTATTTTTCCTATTTCTTGTTAAATTTATCAAATTGTTGTTGTATTTATATTTTCTTCTTTTTGTTATTGTTGCTGTTATTTCTATTTTGTTATATTACTGAGTTTCGACTTCACAAATACATGTATTTATAGGTGGTCAATAAATGATATCTATCTATCTGTTATTTATTATAGCTTTAAGATGATTTATGCCTTTTTGAAATTTAGTTTCTCTCTCAACTTACCATTGTCCACCAGTTATCATTAAATACGTCACCTTATTTTGGAAAGTATTATGTTGTTCCCTATTTCAAGTTGAACGTGCATAAATGAATTCAATTTCAAGTTAACCGGGACTTTTCCGGAAGTTTCTAAAAATGGATTTCAAAGTCGTGTTAAAAGGGAATTAACGAAACTCCGCATTTGAATATCTAATTAATAAATTTTAATTTACTTTACGAGATAAACAGACTCCAAAAGGATTTCGCTCACTGTTTTATCTAACTCTCGCGTAAGTCAAACAAATTAATTTCCTAAACGAAAGAAAATTGTTTGCCTTAATTAGAAATTCTTTCATATTCGCAAGAGAAGATAAATTCGCCGGAGACTTTGAGGGGGCTGCAGTATTTCAAAAATAAATTTAGCTTTTCCGGGTATCGCTGGGAGTAAAATGGTGTCGGGTTGTCAAGTTTTATGTAGCTCCGAAAATAAACCATTTGCCATTGGCATAAAAATTTGAAACGCCGTCGACAGCCTTTTGCAAAAACTTTTTCATATTTCGACTCATCTATCACTTTAAATACAGGTGATAAAAAAATTGACCAGCCGACTGTAAACCGTTATTACCAAGCTACGTGTTATTAATTTCACACCTTTCATTAATCAAAGGGTTTCGTTCTAATAAGTCTTTTATTAAATTTATTAACAATTAGTCTGCCGCCCACCGCAAGGGCGCGAAGCTGTGTAATATTAAGGGATTTTCAAACAAATGAACGGAAAAATAGATTTAGGTTTACGAGTACACATTTCTCGAAAATAGCTTGGCTCATATTAGATTTCACACGACCTATTGTTCCTTTTCACTTTCTTTGCGGATATATCTGTGATAGAAGAAAGTGAGAATAATCATCAGAACGTTCGTTGCGGTTAATTCAAAATCATTAACAAATGTGCTCATACAACAATATCATCGTAATTGTAAAAATAAACTAACAAATTCCTATTTTCAAACGGAAAAAATCTTTATTACAACTAGAAAATATTCTTTTTTATTGTTTCTTAAAATTTTAACTATTAACTTATTATCGACCTTTTCGTTTGTTGAATATTGCTAGTTTCAAACAGAAAGTTGCATTGTCATGTCTCTAGACTATATTCGAACAGGTTAATCCCTATGGGATGTTTTAATGTATGGCTTCCGAATAATTCCTATGCGCGATGGTCTAGCGACTGTGTATTCGGCCTTTAACATGAGAAATTGTTTAATCTGCACAGCAAAACTGAATACGAAGCGGCTGAACCGAGTTTGGGGGCAGCCATTTCAATTTTTTATTGTGTTTTATATGCTTATTTAGGTCCTTCTTACCTATCAATTAATTATGGTGTAGTTACAATTTTCAAAATCAAATAAAAAAAAGTACAATAATTATTTTACAAAATTGAAAAACTGTAGGGTGGTGGTACACTCTACAGTATATTATGCAATATGTGTGGTGGTATATTTGACACGAGCGGAGCGAGTGATTTAAAAAGTTTACCAAACCTGTTGCATACTATACTTTCTCTGCGACCGTTAGTTTTTGTGTACTTTTTTGCTAAACAACACTAATACATTTACTGACATGTCCGTCAGAATTGACAAACGTCAAAATTCAAGCCATGCGGTAATATCTCCGAAAACGTCCGATTGCTCTCTGCGGTAATATCCCAGAAATGCCCGAATTGGCTCCCATCGGTGGGAAAAGAAACTAATGTCTTAAAATGACAGTTTCCGCACGCTAATTGGATATTTTACAGAAGGGAGTAGGAAATAATATATTATGCAGCAAGCGGAGCGCAGAGGAGCGAGTTTTTAATAAACGACTTAAAATGATTACCAAACGTGTTGCGCACTATACTTTTTATACGACTATCAGTTTTTGGGTATTTTTCTACAAAACTACATGAATACATTAACTGGCATGACCGTCAGAATTGACAAACGTCTAATTTCAAGCCGTGCTCTAATATCTCAGAAAATATCCGATTGCTCCCAATCCAGTGCGGTAATATCCCGGAAATATCCGAAGTGGTTCGGATCCGTGGAAAACGAAACTCACGTGGTAAAATGACATTTTCCGCAAACTAGATCGGTGTATAATTAGGTATTTTACAGAAAGAAGTAGAAAAAAGGATTTAAAATTACGAAGAGTATAAAACTGGTGTACAAATATTTTCATATATTTTTGTTTTTCGTGTTTCACGTTCTTTATTAACGAAGTACTCACTCTTCGTCCATCCACATTTATCTATTGTTATCTAAAATGTTTTTAATTTAACTGAACGTCCTGGTCCTAACTCTCTCCTATATTGCAGAATGAGAGGAATTTTCTGCTGAAATTTTCAAGTAGGATCTCAACGTATTCGTAAAAATAACTATAGTCGCACTTTAGACTTGGGCTCTAGAGAAGCTTGAATATATGTCTCCCAAATAAGAATAAAATAGTATAAACCAGAAAGGAAACAATCAAATAGGAGGACACAATTTCATATACAAGTTTTGGATGCATTACATGTTGTCCTAAATATTGTTTTGTCAAATGATCACTGGTTATTTAAAAAATGCCTTGAAAAGGTAAAGTCTAAGTTTTCCGACTTAATATAATAAATTACTTCCAAAATTTTATACCTGTTGTTTTAAACATGGACTTTGCCATGAGGTGCAACGATCAACTGAATTTTTCGAAAATATTTTGCATCTGCTACATTAATATAATAAATATCAGGAAAGATGGCAACTACGTCATAATGATATCACCAGCAAATTCGGTTGGTGTCACCATTACTAACGTAATCGTCATCTTTCCTGAATGCGGATAATATAGGAACTTAAGCAACTATGAAAAAAATGTTGAGACGGTTCATTCAACATGCGCTTGGGAGAAATTTAAAATCCCGTTTTTAACCAATGTCCTTAAGGCATTCTACAATCAACATGGCCGCTGGCAGATGACAATAAGTTTGAATGTGGCATTTTTACGGAAGTATTTTCTTAAAATATAACTAGATCTCGTTAAAAGTTCTAGGAAAACGATTTATATTCGTGGAAATCGCTGTTTAGAAACAAAATGGCGCAAATTTCAGGTTAGTGGGTGAAATATAGAGAGATATCATAACCTTCTCTACCAAAATATCCATGCAAGAAACCCAAAGAAAATGTCATGCAAACGTTTTGCCGTCTAATACAGAGGGGCTCTTTGTTTTCACTTGCTCTAATTCATTTTTATAAGAACCAAGAAATTATTTTATACGTGACAATCAAGGGATAACATATTGCAGTAAAATTTACAGCCTAATATAAAATATGATTATATAAAAATGTTCGGTTTTTGAAATATAAGTGGATAGTGTTCCTCGTATAAAATGATTACAGAAAATCGCCTTTCTTTTGGAGGCGCTTTGAGGAGCCTACGGGAACTATTATGTTCGTTATATTTGTTACCATGAATTTTATTTCTTTTTCTTGTTGAAAGTCTTACTGAAATCTTAGTGTTCGAAACCCACTTTCATAAAACAAACGTTTCACCTCTAAACATACGGCCTTATAAATAAATGTATATCTGCAGCGTTCAAAGCAACAAAGCTAGAAAGTAGGAGGAAGGCAACTACGAAATGGCAGTCACGTGCACCTTGTTAGCGTCAGTTGTTGCAATCAATTACAGGCATTGTTAGCGTCATTATGGGCAGAGTCAACGAAAGCTCTACAAGGTTGTTTGTCTCGTGTATATGATGAGATATAAAAGGCAATGCTTAGTTGGGTGTTTATTCTGCGCCACGTAATTTGTTTAAAAGCCTACGATCCGATGTTCCATTGCGGTCGAGGTAATTGAAACTGAAGCTATTATAAGAGAAATTTGA